CCCTCTCGGCCCAGCCAGGCTCGCTGGTGCTGCCTGGACACAGCCTGACCCTCCAGTGCCACGCGGAGGCCGGCTTTGACACATTCGCTCTGACCAAGGACGAGGGGCTCACACCCCCCCAGCGCCTCCATGGGCAGCACAGCCCCGACTTCCCCCTGGGCCATGTGAGCCAGATCCACGGAGGCCGGTACCGATGCTACAGTGGACACTACCTCTCCTCTGTGTGGTCAGCCCCCAGCGCCCCCCTGGACATTCTGGTGGCAGGTGAGGAGCCAGCCCTGCCCTGTCCTGAGGGTCTGCTCAGGGCTCTGGGCCCAGGGTCACCTGGCGGTGATGGAGTCCAGGAGAGGTACCTGGAGCAGAGGCTGACCTAGGCAGAGGTCTCAGGGAGGGAGGAAGAAAGGGGGTGAGGCCATGGAGATAAAAGACACCCACCCAGGTGACTGAGAGGAGCTGGCAGGGGTGACAGACAGAGTCTCTGTAAAAGGACAATGTCCCTCAGCTCAGGGTCAAGGGCATGAGGGGAGGGGTGGCTCCCTACACATCACAACCTTCCTCTCCCCAGGAATGTACAAGAAACCCTCCCTCTCGGCCCAGCCGGGACTCTCAGTGCCCTGGGGAGTGACCGTGACCCTGCAGTGTGGGTCTGAGATCTGGTTTGACACCTTCCACCTGCACAGGGAGGGGTCACTGGATCCTCCCCAGCACCTTCATCTGCAGAACACGTCTGCACCCTCTCAGGCCAACTTCACCCTAAGTCCTGTGACCTCAGGCCACCAGGGGACCTACAGGTGCTATGGCTCAAACAGCACCTCCCCCTACCTGCTCTCACAGCCCAGTGACCCCCTGGAGCTGCTGGTCTCAGGTGAGGAGCCTGACCCCGTCCTTTCTGTGCTCAGTCAGCTCAGGGCCCCGTTCCTAGGAGTGTGGGTGACAGTAATAAACAAGGAGGTGGAGGAGGTTCCACAGAGCAGAGTCCAGCCCATGAGAGAGTAGAGACAAACAGGACCTCCCACTCCTGTACCTCATTTCTGATCCTCAGAAGAGATGAAGGGTAGGGAGGGCGATTGAGAGATGAGTGTGATTGAGAGGAATGTGATTAGACAGAGCAGAGAACAAAGGCCCCCACCACTACCACCACCATCACCACCACTCACCTCCTGACGTCTTCATCTCAGAATCTGGGTCCCTGTATTCCCAGCCCCCACTGGACACTCCCCTATAGAGAAGCATCCTGCCTGTGGGCACCACACTGCACAGCCCCCTGTGCTCACCTGGAGGCCTCCAGGCCCTCAGTGCTCACCTGAGAACAAGGAGGGACCCTGCAGGCCTCATGGGAGCTGGGATTTCCTGCCCAGACACTGTGCATTCCCCTCTGCTCAGTGTTTCTGTGCACACTGGTCTATTATGGCTCTTTTTAGAGAACCTTCAGGTAGTACTTCGGTCTATAAGCTCATGATTTAACTTACATAATGTGGAGTCCAGATAAAAATATAAACATTCTATTATTATTGTCTTTGGGGGTAGATTAAATTCCGACATTTGTTATGGAGAATAAATTCTTGTTTATATAAAGTCTTCTTATCATGCACATTTTCAAATGAGCTTTATGAATGAATTTCAGAAGCATTTTTTAAAATATATTTTATTGATTTTTTACTGAGAGGAAGGAAGAGGGATAGAGAGTTAGAAACATCGATGAGAGAGAAACATCAATCAGCTGCCTCCTGCACACTCCCTACTGGGGATGTGCCTGCAGCCAAGGTACATGCCCTTGACCAGAATCGAACCTGGGACCCTTCAGTCCGCTGGCCAACACAAGTCTGTTCCTCTGAGTCCTGGTCTATGGGCTGTGGGTCAGGTCCCCACCTCCCTCACAGGGAAGGCCCTCAGCACACAGCCCGGCCCAGTTAGAGCTCAGGAAGGACCCAGCCCTCCCTCCTGCCCTTCCCGGAGGCGTCCCACATGCACAGGCCGCACTATGGGTTCGGTTCAGACTGCAGAGTGTGACAGGAATCTGGGCTGGGATGGAGAATGGTGGGTCTACCTGCAGGTACAGGGACAGCATGAATAATAATAATAGTAATAACAATAATAGTAATAATGCCCTGACCATTTCTGCTCCGTGAGTTAGAGCATTAGCCCTTGGACTAAAGGGTTGCAGGTTCAGTCCCTGGTGAAGGGCACATACTTTAGCTTCAGATTTGATCCCCCACCCTGGTCAGGGCACATGCAAGAGGCAACCAGTCAATTTGTCTCTCTCACATCAATGTTTCTCGCCCCCCGCCCCACCTCTTCCCCTCTCCCCTTTCCCTCACTTCCACTCTCTCTCTAAAGATCAATGGAAAAAATATCCCTGGGTGAGAATTTAAACAATAATAATAGTAACAACAACACACAGGGATCCCCCTGTTTCAGGTTCCAGTCCCAGCCCTGCCCCGCCCAGGCTGGGTGACCTGGGGCTTCTGATTAACCTCTCTGAGCTTCAGTGAAATGGGTGGTGGGGTGAGCAATCCCTGTCGCATGACTGTTGTGAAGTTAGTAGAGATGAATGACAGACCCCAGCATGTGCCTCACACA